ATATATATATATATATATATATATATATATATATATATATATATATATATATATATATATATATATATATATAGATAAAGATAAAATAAACTTGGTTTACTTCATAAGATTTATTATTTTTTTGTGAATAAATCTTATGAAGTAAACCAAGTTTATTTTATCTTTATCTATATTAGCTCTATACTTCGGTATATCGAGCACTCTACTCATATATGATTCTATATACATATTTGGTATATATATATATATATATATATATATATATATATATATATATATATATATATATATATATATATATATATATATATATATATATATATATACCTAACACCTTAAACCTTAAACTCTAAGCGCGCAAAGCGTAATGGGAGCACTATTTAATTATTATGAAAATTATGGAAATATATACTGAATGTCATAAACATACTCGTTTATATTATTAATTCAGCATCGAACAATACTAGTTCTGCAAGTGTTATGTTGAGTTGTGTAATTGTACACTCCGTAATATGTTAAGGTGAAAATGTTCTCGAGTGTGTATTATTTAATTTCCATACCCGGCGTAAGCAGAAAGATAAAGTCTGTCTTTACCCAAACACAGTTTATTCCTTCCATGCATGCATGACCAATCAAAACCATGATTTGATCTTGAATTACTTTTCGAAAGTCTTTCGTCTTATAAATTTTTAAACTTACAAAGCAAAATTTATGGACATTTCCCGTTTGTTTATGGGTTTGTTTCTTTGATATTTGGTATACAATACAAAACTTATTAAGTGCCCCCCACCTTTACGGAAATTTAACGAATTTTCGGAAGTGTTGACCTAAAAGAGGGCTAAAACAGCCTTTTCGAGTGCAAATTGAAGGGTTTGTCGAAAATTTGAAGGCTTTGTTGGAAATTTAGGAGGCTTTGCCCTCCCCCCCCCCCCAGGAAAAAGTGAATTTCCGTCACTGGTGTCTCTATATACAGCATAATATTAGAGGAACGTATATTTATACTAGCTGTTTTTATTGTTGTAAATGTTTACTATCTTACTTTTATATAAAGGACCATTGGGGAGTATGGCCTGGTATATAGCTGTTATACCAGCAACAATTTAAAAATTTACTCAAATAGAGTTCATTCCTTCCATGCATGGTCAATGAAAATTTGGTCTGGAAACTTCTCGAAAGTCTTTCTTCTATCATTTTGTCCATGTCTATGAAAATATTTGCGTGGTGAAAGACAATACATTTTTGGCGTACTCAGACTGAAGCACTGCCGATGCCGGTGAGCTAAGATCTCACATGAGAACTGCTATTTGAACTACTCTGCAGGATAGATTATCGGTCTTAGTGAGCCAATTATACAGGGTGTATCAAAAAAAGGAGACCTTTAGAAATCAAGCATATTGTTAAAATTTGAATGCCTTTTCAATTGCACATATGCTGAACCGTATTGCGTGAAATATTGCATATATTAGAAAAAGGAGACTTTTAACTGGGAACAATCTGCCATGTGCTTAGCAAAGTGCTCCAGGATTCAAGTTATAACAATGGTTGATTTTTAAAGGCTAGGTCTCCTTTTTCTAATATATGCACTCCATCAATATTTCACGCACCACAGTTCAGCATATGTGCAATTGAAATGGCATTCAAATTTTAACAATATGCTTGATTTCTTAAGGTCTCCTTTTTTTTATACACCCTATATAGATAAACAATACTTTCTTTAATTATCTACACATCAGGCGACTACTATGGCACCATAAGTCTGAAAACATTGACTAGTTTAATTGCTCGGTGCTTTGCGGTTGATTGCCTGACCATGGAAGATACAATACCTATACTATAATACCTAAACACACACGATAAATAATTAATGCTGTGCAGCTATGTCTGTATGAGTGGGGTAGAAATTATAAAAGATCGGTTGTTGAATTGCAATTCCATCAGAATTTGTTTGCTGGTTAACTGTGCACTTGTCTTGATTTTGAGACCGAAGACTCCGAGAACTACAGGTAAGTGCAGTAATATATATATATATATATATATATATATATATATAGACTTGCATTAATATCTCGTTTCTGACGAAGGGGCTGTGCCCCGAAACGTATCTTTATCTTTACAACATGTATTTATTCATTTGAAGTTTAATAAAATTTATTTTCAATTTGATGCTTTATATAAATGAAGTTTTTTGGGAGGCTAGTGATATTTATATATATATATATATATATATATATATATATATATATATATATATATATATATATATATATATATATATATATATATATATATATATATACTTTGGAAACCATCGTTTGATGTTGTTCCTGTTTGGTGGAGATTTTTTTCATAACCAGTTTCCATGGCCTAGTGTTGAAGAATAGATGCTCTGTACGAGGGAACTAGCCATCCTTTTCAGACGCCGTTGACTTTATAGATGGAACTCCACATGAAATAGATGACCACCAGAGGACTCCCAATTTTAGTTCCAATTTTAGAGTGGACATCGACACTATATCAACTTATATGAACACCCAATTGATTGTAGACAATGTAGGCAATATAATTGTTTTCCTCCAGGTGCAAACTATAATATGCCTCTCGGTTCCGTACTTCTGGCAGACAAGGAATATGGAGATAAGGAGATACCATTCTGTTATTCGAACTCCTTTTCGCACGAGCCAAATAACGCGTATATGATGGCGATTCCTGATCAAGGGCGCGCTCCGACGTTCAATAGACGTCCATTGAGATGCCGGGTTATTGTTGAGCACACTATTAAACATTTAAAAACGTCGTAAGCAGTTGTAGAGTTAGCCACCTTTCTAGCCCAAAGACACTTTGTATTATTTCACGAACCGCAATTAAAGACATGTAAATGTAAAGATGAAAGTAATCGTTCAAATAACATGTATATACTTTGAGTTGCTTTGGTTTAAAAAACTTTTAAAATGTCTGGTGATTTCCACAGCTTGTGATACAAAACACATGCAAATTGTACATTCTTGTGTCAAGATTTGGGTTATCGTTCCATGTTTCGCCCACCAATATAGATTAGGGTTAGGGGTTAGGTATTAGGGTTAGGTTTAAGGTTAGGGTTAGGGTTAGGGTTAGGGTGTGTATGTGTGTATATGTATATGTATATAATTTGTTTTGATGTAGTAGATAATAAAGTGGTCAATACTAAAATTATAGCAGAGCAAAACATATTTATATCTTAATTATTGCTACTCAAGTTTCACGCCTTATTCAAAAGGCTCTGTTATGCCATTTTGGGGGTATTGCCTCTCTCACGTATGAGAGTCTCGATCCCCACTAGGAAATACAACGTTATAGTATTGTAGTTGTTTGTATAACAGTATATTTACAGTTAAAACTTTTAAAAGTCGCTCTTTAGTTTGTTTTTTTTGTATAGAATCTTTCACGAGGGCAGACAATACCCCCAAAATAGCGAATTTTGGCCTTCGTGAGAAAGGCTAATTGGTGCGCTTAATTAAAAGTTTGAATTTTTTCACAGAAATTTGTTTAATCCTCGTCAAATTGTGAAGAATGAAAGTTTTGTCTCCTTTCGTTTGTGTTGTTTTGTTCGTTGCATTCACGACAGCAGATATTGCGGAAGGTTCGTATCGTCCTTCATACTGCAGACTTGAATATCAATGATTTTCAATGATTTTTTATGAAATTAAAGCTCAGGATTTTCATACTGGATAGCTCAATCAGTTCTGAACTATTATTTGGAGAGGTCAGGCCAGTAAAGCTATTTCGTATTGATCCAGTAAAGACCATCTCATATTGATTTTGCTACAGGAGGAAACCGTATACGCGGACAATGTTTTAAGTGAAATTTGAACTGCTCGGAATCGAAGTCAGTTACCGATTGTAGTACTGCCCCTTACCGCTGAGCTAATCCTTCTACTGATGGTCGAGACCTGAGGATTTCTTTATAGGTTAGGAGACCGTGCTTCGAGGGTTTTTCTTTGAGTTTTTTTTTTTCACTAAAAACAAGATTTTAGTATTAACTAGCCGCTGGCAAGCACGTTGTCATGAGCCTCTGGTTCAGATGAATTGGGCATCCACGCCCTTTGCAATCAATATAAAGCAACGCGTTATCAACAATAATTAAATGACTCATTATCTTTAAAGATTCAGCTGATGGCACGGAGTTATCTCTTGAAAAACGTAGTCGAGGATGCCTCATCATCATGTTCCCGTGTTCTCGTATGCGAAGTGTTTGTGCCAACATTCAACGGGCCATTAAAGGCGGCAAACCAACACGTCTACATCGCATCACGGACAGAATAGCCATAAATAATAACACACGTCTCTCTATATGCGCAGGCAAAAAATGTGCCCAGTATCCGTTTGCTTCAACCAAACAAGGTACGGCGTATCCGCATTAAAGAAATTATATCCACACAGCAGAGGCGAATCACAGGTTTCTTTATTAGAGTAGAGAGCATATTGGAAAGGTGTCTTCATGCAGAGATGTCTGTATTATAGAGAGGTTTCTGTGTTAGAGAGGTTTCTGTTTTAGAGAGGTTTCTGTTTTAGAGAGGTTTCTGTATTAGAGAGGTTTCTGTATATTAGAGAGGTTTCTGTATTAGAGAGGTTTCTGTGTTAGAGAGGTTTCTGTGTTAGAGAGGTGTCCGGAACAAAGAGGTGCCGGTCTGCATTCGAGAACTACCGATTAGCTGTGATTTTTGCATAGCAATAACTCTGCAAAGCCTTGCTTGGGAAGGAATATCTGTGTGCGTGTCTATATTATAGAGATATCCATATTTACGAGGCACTCAAATCAGGAAGGTTTCTGTATTAGATTGCGTTCGTATGAGAGAGGTTTCTGTATTAGAGAGGTGTCTGTATTAGTTGGAGAAGTCTCCGTATAAGAAAGGTGTCCAGCTGGAATGCTGGATAACAGAGATGTCAGTGTCAGTATCAGAGGGGTGTACATATTTTTGAAATGTGTGTCTGTGTTAGAGAGGTGTTTGAATTAAATGGAGATGTCTCCGAATAAGAAAGATGTCTGGATAACAGAGATGTGTTAGCATCTGAGGGGTGTACATATTGGAAATCTGTGTCTGTTTCAGCGAGGTGTCGGTGGTGCAGAAATGAACGTATTACAATGGCGTGTCTGTATTAGAGCGGTACCCGTATAAGAGAGATTTCTGTATTAGAGAGGTGTTCGTAGTGAAGAGACGTACTAGAAAGGTGTGTCTGTATTAGAACGGTACCCATATTAGAGAGTTCTTAACCATGAACATTTTCTTCATTTTTCCAGGTGGAAAAGGTGCTTTTGTAAAGCCTGTCACAAGGGGTGAAATTTTTTTACAACGTGTTATGTTGGTCCGTTTTTATAGAAAATATTCGATTGGGAATGGTGGCTGTTTCGACGTCAAACTTGGTAAATAAATCTTCCTTTAGCCCTTATACTCTGAGATAATATTTCGCCTCAAATCCCCTTTAGTCGCTCCGATCCTCCTTAAATCATGCATATCACTCGCTTTGTATTGATTGTCTTATATTGCAAAACTTACTGTTTTAACGGACTATTTCCAATACGGATGGACGCGAATGTTGTCAATAGCTTGATGAGAACATTGATTTCGTATTCTTCAACAACTTAAAATAATTCTTCGTATGTTTGCATGGTGATAAAATACAATAGTTTTGTTGGTGGAAACATCACGTAAATTTATTACTGCAAAGCTTTCGATCCGTAAGCCCGGATCTTCATCAGTGCTAATAATATGTGACTTGTTTAATTCACACGCTCGTTTTTGTACTATTTAAAAAACGAACAGGAGTGTTTTATTAGGTTTAAAGCCACGAGCGCGCAGCGCGAGTGGCTTTAGACCTAATAAAACACGACCTGCGAGTTTTTTAAATGGCTTCAAAAACGTTTGCATAATAAGTCAAATCTTTATATAAAAATCTTTATATAAAAATCTTTATACAAAAATCTTTATATAAAAATCTTTATATAGTTTGCATAACAATGGTCTTTTGTTAAAGAGTTCTTTAGCTGGTATAAAGACATATGCACGTGACTCATTTCTTACTCAAGATTGGATAATTGCTTCATGAATTATTAATGAGTTTTTGAAATATACTTCAAAAACTCATTAATAATTCAGGAGCAAAACACAAAGAAAAATCATAAGCGTGTCGTGGTTTTACATGTGATAAAAAATCACGTTAATTTACATAAACTTTAGCTTTGATTTTCTCGGTTTAGACAAAGTTTATTTTAAAAATTACTTCGCCAATGAACTCGTATAAGATGAGTCGTTTTTGAAGCTATTTAAAGCACTTGTAGTCGTGTTTTATCACATATAAAACACTCCGCTACGCGTCGTGTTTTATATGTGATAAAACACTCCTACGCGTGCTTTAAATAGTACAAAAGTGTCGTGATCTGTTGGCTCGCGTCATTTGAAAAAGACAAAATGTTCTTTCTCATAACAGAGATGTGTCAGTATCAGAAGGGTGTACATATTTTGAAATGTGTGTCCGTATTAGAGAGGTGTTTGAATTAGATGGAGAAGTCTCCGAATAAGAAAGATGTCTGGATAACAGAGATGTGTTAGCATCTGAGGGGTGTACATATTAGAAATGTACTATTATTAGTAATGTACATATTAGAAATGTAGTCTGAGGGGTGTACATATTAGAAATTTCTTGCATCATTTGAAAAAGACACATTTCTGTTCATTTCGCGTCATGTGCAAAATTAATTTCTCTTGTCTTGGATGCGCGCGCGTTAATTGGAATCACTTCACTACGTTTGAAATGACGTGGTTGATGTGCCGTTTAATTAAATTTCAAGTGACGACACTTTTGTATATAAATAGAGCGTGTGAATTAAACAAGTCACATATTATTAGCACTGATGAAGATCCGGGCTTACGGATCGAAAGCTTTGCAGTAATAAATTTACGTGGTGTTTCCACAAACAAAACTATTATAACTTAAAATAGATTATTATATAATAACTACAGTGAAACACGCAATTTGATTGGTCAATAGCCGTGCAGGATCAGGCCAACCTAGTGCACGAGCAATTAAAATGCCAGTTCGCGGGATTTTCACGAGATTCTCAAAATGTCATTGTTTCACTGTAGTTATATTTTATAAAACAATTACCGAATGGTTTTCCAAGCAGTATAGCGTGATCCATGCACTTGGGATGTTGCTCGAGATCTTCAAAAATGTTTAAAACAAAAGTAGAAAAAAGGTTAACAAAAGTAAAAAAAATATATAAAAAAGTTAGATTTTCAAAAAAAGTTTAAAAAGTTAGATTAAGGGTTAGGGTTGGGGTTAGGGGTTAGCATTAGGGGTTAGGGGTTAGGTGCCGCGAATTTATCATATTGATAAATTCGCACGTGTTTAACAATTTACTCATAGAGTAAATTCAAAGCTGGAGCTCATGCTGGATTTTGTATCAGATGTACAAACTCCTTCACGGTCATGACTTCTTTTGTGTTTTCTTCATGAATTATCAATGAGTTTCACAATTTTCATTAAAATACATTTCAACTTTCTAAGCCATATTTTACAAGTTAATCTTGCACTTGTAGAATTTTTCTTTTGTTAAAGAACGAACAGAATAGTTGTTGAATGAAATAAACATAAAGTTTTGTCCTTTTTAACACTTGGAGAAATTAATAAGAAATTTCTTGAATTTCTTGGGAAAGATTTTTGCTTCATGTTAGGCTGGGAAGTAAATTCTGTAAATTTCTGCGACAATGCGTTTTTAATGTTCGACCGATTTCGAAATTTAATGTTTCCTCAACAAAGATTCCCAATTTGAAGGGTGGTGTTTCAAATGCCGTTGTTTTAACTTTAAGGTTGCAGAAAGAAGAACACCGTTGAGTGTTAATTTTGCGCGCCTAAATTTTTGTATTGTTTTCCATGAAAACATTAGACTAGTTCCACTATCTGACCAAGGTTGCACGAAAAATGTTGAAAACTCGGAGAGTTATTTAATAAAACACATTTCGCTGCAATAAGAAAAACATTGAAAATGTAATATTCAAATTCAATTTTCTCCCGAAGAATTTTACGACAATTACTGATTTTCAAACGAGTTGTTCTCCTGCGGGTTTTAACGAACTTTTCTCAAACTTTCACAGGACATAGCCAAAGACGTCAATTTCAAAATTGCCATGTTCGGCTTTTTCCCAATTTTGGATATTTTAATAATAAGGAGCAATTCACCCAAACGATTCAGAAATATATTGCAGTCGTCAAAGAAATCGCCATATCAGCGGAATGACGAAGTAAACAAATATTTCCGAACACATTTTTTAAAACAACTATTTTACTGTATAAAAATGATATTTTCATAAATATATCTTAAAACTAGCAGGAAAACAACTCGAAAGCGTAAAGGTACCGCGATTTAAGATTTTCCTGAATAATTCTTACATTATTTTATTGTTTGTCAATTTTACAACTTTACTATCCATATTTTACATGCACTGGCGAACATTTGGTGAAAATTTGATGAAAATCGAACTGATATTGAGCGCGCAGTTGCGATTTTCCGCAAAACGCCAAAATGGTGTCCTGTAACTTTAATTGCCCCACTAAAAGCCAAGAAGAATATATTCTTACATCTGTTTAACTTGTCAATTCGGCATCAGACGGACTAGCAAGAAAATATCAGATAAGATTAGCTCCCAAAACGGAAGAACCATTGCCACTATTCTATCTGGTTCGTCGTCGATAGTAAGCAACTCATTATCAACAATAATTAAGTGACTCGTTATGATTTATATTTAAAAAAATCATCAATGTTTGCAAATCGGATAAAGATTTGTCCTGATTTACATAACTTCAGCTTTATTTCGGCTTAGACAATGTTTATTTTTAAAATTACTTCGTCAATGAACTCATAGGATGGGTCGTATATCAGATACATATCGGCTGCTCATGTTTTATCTAGTACTTAGAGTCACCCTGCCTCCTCCGCAGGCTCTTCTATATATAGATTAAATTTAAATATCAGTAATATCTAGATCGATCAGTGGTTCGGTTATGCGTGTGCATTGCAAGCCCGATAAAGACGCACGCCTCAGGCGCCCGCCCGCAACTAAGGACGAGCGCGCAAAGGAAATGGGAAGACGAGAAATTTCTCCCCTTCCCATCTCTCCGCGTGCCATTAGTAATTTGATTTCCCATTAATTATTCTGATTATTCGTTTTCCTCTTAATTATTCGGGGGTTTTTTCGTTTTCCTCTTAATTATTTGTTTTTTCCTAATTAATTATTTGTTAGCAACAGAGCCCCCACGAAGATGCCCCACCATCACGTTCCCGTGTTCTCGTATGCGACGTGTTTGTGCCAACATTCGACGGGCCATTAAAGGCGGCAAACCAACACGTCTACATCGCATCACGGACAGCAGAGCCATAAATAATAACACACGTCTCTCTAAATGCCCAGGCAAAAAATGTGCCCGGTATCCGTTTGCTACAACCAAACAAGGTACGGAGTATCCGCATTAAAGAAATTATATCCACACAGCAGAGGCGAATCACAGGTTTCTTTATTAGAGTAGTGAGCATATTGGAAAGGTGTCTTCATGCAGAAATGTCTGTATTAGAGAGGTTTCTGTGTTAGAGAGGTTTCTGTGTTAGAGAGGTTTCTGTGTTAGAGAGGTTTCTGTGTTAGAGAGGTTTCTGTGTTAGAGAGGTGTCCGGATCAAAGAGGTGTCTGCATTAGAGAGCTACCCATTAGGTGTGAGCTTTGCATAGCAATAACTCTGCAAAGTTTTTGCTTGGGAAGGAATATCTGCATATGTCTGTATTGTAGAGATATCCATATTTAAGAGGTACCCAAATCAGGAAGGTTTCTTTACTAGAGAAGTGTTCGTATAAGAGAGGTGTCTGTATTAACAGGTGTCTGTATTAGATGGAGAAGTCCCCGTATAAGAAAGGTGTCTGGATAACAGAGATGTGTCAGCCTCATAAGGCTGTATATATTAGAAATGTGTGTTTGTATTATAGAGAGGTGTCTGTATTAGATGGACAAGTCTCCGTATAAGAAAGGTGTTTGGATAACAAAGGGGTGTACATGTACATATCAGAAATGTGTGTCTGTATTAGGAGTTGTGAGTAGTGAAGAAACGAACGGGGTACCCATATTAGAGAGTTCTTAACCATGAAAATTTTCTTCATTTTTCCAGGCGGAAAAGGTGCTTTTGTAAAGCCTGTCCCAAGCCGTGAAATTTATTTACAACGTGCTGTGTTGGTCAGTTTTTATAAAAGAAAATCGATTGGGAATGGTGGCTGTTTCAACGTCAAACTTGGTAAATAAATCTTCCTTTAGGCCTTTTACTCTGAGGCAGTATTTCGCTCCAAATCCCCTTTAGTCGCTCCAACCATCCTTAAATCACATATCACTCGCTTTGTATTGATTGTCTTATCTCACAAAACTTACTGTTTTAGTGTTTTAACGGACTATTTGCAACACCGCGGACGAACACGAATGTTGTAAATGGCTTGATGAGAAAATTATTTAATTTCGTATTGTTCAACCACTTAAAATAGATTACTATATAATGACTACAGTGAAACATGCAGTATGATTGGTCAATAGCCGTGCAGGATCAGGCCAACCTAGTGCACGAGGAATTAAAATGCCTTCGCGGGATTTTCGCGAGATTTTCAAAATGTCATTGTTTCACTGTAGTTATAATTATAAAACAATTACCAAATGGTTTCCCAAGCAGTATAGCGTGATCCATGCACTTGGGTTGTTGCTCGAGATCTTAATTCAAAAAAGTAAAAAAGGTTAACAAAAATAAAAAAAAAATAAAAAATTTAGATTTTCAAAAAAAAAAGTTTAAAAAGTTAGATTAAGGTTAAGGGTAGGGGTTAGGGGTTAGCGTTAGGGGTTTGGTGCCGCGAATTTATCATCAATTGATAAATTCGGACATGTTTAACAATTTACTCATAGAGTAAATTCAAAGCTGGAGCTCATACTGGATTTTGTATCAGATGTACAAACTCCTTCACGGTCATGATTTCTTTTGGTTTTCTTCATGAATTATCAATGAGTTTCACAACTTTTGTTAAAATACATTTCAACTTTCTAAGCCATATTTTACGTTTCAAGTTAATCTTGTACTTGTAGAATTTTCTTTTGTTGAGGAACGAAACAGAATAGTTGTTGAATGAAATAAACATAAAGTTTTGTCCTTTTTAACAGTTGGAGAAACTAATATTTTTTGAATTTCTTGGAAAAGGTTTTTGCTTCATGTTAGGCTGGGAAGTAAATTCTGTAAATCTCTACGACAATGCGTATATAATGTTCGAGGAACATCGAAATTTAATGTTTCCTCAACAAAGTTTCCTAATTTGAAGGGTGATGTTTCAAATGCCGTCGTTTAAACTTTAATCACCCACTAAAAGCCAAGAAGAATATATTCTTCCATCTGTTTTGTCAATACGGACCAATATGGCATCAGACAATAGATATGCGCTATCTAGTGTATATAAGATATCTATGCAATAGACGGACTAGCAAGAAAATATCAGGCAAGAGTAGTTCCCAAAACGGAAGAACCATTGCCACTATTCCGTCTGGTTCGTCGATAGTAAGCAACTCATTAGCAACAATAATTAAATGGCTCGTTATATTTATGTTTAGAGTCCCCTTGTCTCCTCCGCAGGCTCTTCTATATATAGATTAAATTTAAATATCAGTAAACATATAGATCAGTGGTTCTGTTATGCGCGTGCATTGCAAGCCAGCAAAAGACGCACGCCTCAGGCACACGCACCACAATTATGGACGGGAAATGGGAAGACGATTTCCTCATTAATTATTCTGATTATTCGTTTTCCTCTTAATTTTTCAGTTTTTTTCGTTTTCTTCTTAATTTTCGTTTTTTCCCTAATTAATTATTTCTTAGCAACAGAGCCTCCACCAAGATGCCCCACCATCACGTTCATGTGTTCTCGTATGTTACGTGTTTGTGCCAACATTCGACGGGCCATTAAAGGCGGCAAACCAACACGTCTACATCGCATCACGGACAGAAGTGCCATCAATAATAACTTACGTCTCTCTAAGTGCGCAGCCAAAAAATGTGCCCAGTATCCGTTTGCTACAACCAAACAAGGTACGGAGTACTAAAGAAATTATATCCACACAGGAGAGGCGATCCGTAATTCACAGGTTTCTTTATTAGAGTAGTGACCATATATTGGAAAGGTGTCCTCATGGAGAGATGTCCGTATTAGAGAGGTTTCTGTACTAGAGAGGTATTCGTATTAAAGAGGTGTCTGGATTAGATTTTTGCATAGCAATAACTCTGCAAAGCGTCTTGCTTGGGAAGGAATATGTGTGTATATATTATAGCTAGAGATATCCATATTTAAGAGATACCCAAATTAGAAAGATTTCTGTATTAGGAAGTGTTCGTATAAGAGAGGTGTCTGTATTAGAGAGGTGTCTGTATTAGATGGAGAAGTCTCCGTATAAGAAAGGTGTCTAGATAACAGAGATGTGTTAGCATTAAAGGAGATTACATATTAGAAATGTATGCCTGTATTAGAGAGATGTCCGCAGTGAAGAGACGAACGTATTAGAAAGGTGTGTGTATTTGAGTGGACCCGCATTCTTGATTATTACGTTTGGTATTCAGCCTTTCAGGGTAGTTCTTAACCATAAACATTTCCTTCATTTTTCCAGGTGGAAAAGCTGCTTTTGTAATTAAGCCTGTCACAAGGCGTGAAATGTTTTTACAACGTGCTATGTTGCGCAGCTTTTATGAAAGACATTCGATTGGGAATGGTGGCTGTTTCAACGTCAAACTTGGTAAATAAATCTTCCTTTAGACCTACTCTGAGATAGTATCAGTTCGCCTTAAATCCCGGCCTTTAGTTGCTCTGACCCTCCTTAATAAATCACATATTACTCGCTTTGTGATTGTCTTATCTCACAAAACTTACTGTTTTATCAGTCTATACTTAAGTCGTCCTAATTGACATCAATTTGTCATAAATCACTTTAACTCGCCTCAAATCGTTTAAGCGCTTTTCATTGAATCATGGCGATTTAAATTAAGGCGCCAGACGTGCCGTCTCAGAGTAGGTCAATCTCAAATATGGATGGATTAAATTTGCTCAGGATTTTGTCTAAGAAATATTTTTTCTTCATATTTTAATTTTCGTTAAAATACTTAATATGTAATTTTTAAGTTTATCTTGTACTTGTATAATTTTCGTTTGGTAAAATAGTTGAATAAAGTAAATTTTGTTGTTTTTAACACTTGGGGAAACAAAAATATCGGTGTATCACTGCCTACATCCTAACGGCTTACAATTAACAACGCCGAATTTTTATGCCATGCCACAGCTCACACTCGGTATTAAAATACAACCCAAGTTTAACTTGAAAAATATGAAATACTAAACTTTCAGACAAGCATGCAAAAACCAAGTCACAGAAAACGAAAAACAACTTATTTCAAGTCATTTTTTGTCTTTTTTACTTGTGCTAGTTTCTGTTTTCGTTTCTTCACATGTTTTGGTGTTTTTGTTTTTCTTCTTTCTCTGTTCCAATCCTTTAGTGATTTCTTGTGTTCCTAAAAGGAATTTGGTTAAATGATTTAAATTTTGATGTCGGCTTCTTTATATATACATAAGCTTTTTGTGACCTTTCATTCATGCTAAATAACAACATTACATTTCATCAGAGGCGTAGCCAGCCCGATAATTTAGTACCGCTATGCAAATTCAAAATTATTATCATTCATTTCTTTAGAAATTGATTGTTTTCACACTCAATGAAAACGAAAATATTTGCATAGCGAGACTAAATCGGCGGTCTAGCGCTGGCTACGCTACTGCATTTCATTGTTCAGATTTTTACCCATAGATGCATGCATTAGCAACTTTAGTGGACAATTTATTTATGTTGTATCCAGTGCTGTAAAATGCAACTCGTTGCCGTTACAAAATTACTTCAATATTTTTGTAACTATAGTTACAAGTTACTTCAAGTAAGAAAAACCCCAGTTTTTCTCAACTTAATGATTAGTGGTCAGCAGATTGACGTTAATTATTTGTAAACGTTATGTAACCTTACCACTAATGGATCTCTCAGCTGTGTTAAGCACTGAAGCATGCGTTGTCGTAGAAAACCGTGAGGAGAATTTCGAGAACTGAGAGGTGAATTGTAAGTTTTATCCGCGAGAATGTAACGAAAAAAGTAACGTAAACGTTGGCTATAAAAGTAACGCGTTATCGTTTCATTTTATGCCAAAATATAACTCGTTACAGTTACAGTTACAGTTACTCAAAAAGTAACGGTTACTTTAGCCTCCTCTACAGGCTAAAGTAATCTCGTAGTTCTTAATTTTTTGCCTGCAAGAAATTTTGCCCGATAATCGAAAGGCGATGCCTGCGGAGGAGGCTACGATTACTTGTAATTTCGTTACTTGTAAAGACGTTCCACGGCAGCTTATTGTAGAATACTGCGTACACTGGACCACATGCAGCGTTTGAGATATCTTGAGATATATTTGAGATACGCGTACGTCATAAGTGCTATGGTTTTCCAGAGTCCACTCGCGCCAGTTATGTAGTGTCGAGATCTCGATTTTGTGTCTGCTAAGCAACCTTACTTCTCTATTTGATACAATATTTTAGCATTTTTTTACAAAATATATTATTATATCTGTCATAGTATTGCTAATATAAAAATACAAATATACCCCAACCACATGTGAGCTTGGGATGCCTCAGTGTCCTAGCTGGGTTTTTTTTTTTGGTTTTTTTTTTGGGGGGGGGTTGTGCTGTTGAGTCGTGTTGACTTGCAGATTTAGATTTCAGATTTGTTCCATCGTTTAATAGTCAAACTAGAGGTGCACATGCAATTATCAAATGATTAATGAAACCGCTGCACTGACGAGGCGTAGAACGCCGAAACTTGCATGTCTGCAGATTGTACTATATTGTACTGGTACCAGGGGTCTGTACCCCAGGGGGGTGTACCGGGGTTTAAGTACCGTTGGTAAAACAAATCTTACAGCACCATCAGGTTCGATAGCTCCCCGACTATATGATCAGTTCCATTATAGCTTTCTTACCCGGGGAGAGATTTCCCAGCAACAAATTGAATATATCGCCTTTTTTCTCGATCTTGCCCGAATGCGGCTGCATGCCCTCTGGATATAACTTCCTGATACTTTTTTCTCACTTCTTTCTTTTCTTCGATCTCTGCACGGATTTTTCTGCCATCAATACAAACCTTCTAAATCAACCACAACATGAAAATCGTCGACAGGTGTGCAGAAACGTACATTCTTCGAGTGGATTAGAGGTTTCATTTTCGTACTTTACGTACTCGTACCTTCAAAAAATTGTTGCGGAGGGGGGAGTTCGGACGATCTGGGGCCGACTTTCTTGTACTCTACATTCAGTGGCTGCGAGCAGGTTTTAATTCTTTTTGGGGAGGCTAATCACCCTTCCAGTTAGGTTGGGAACCATAGTTAAGATCAAGTTTTTAGCCAAGTGAAAACACGGCACGCAAAAGATTATTTAACTGTAACAGAGTAGCATAATAGGAGCGGTGAAAAGTAGGGGTCCGGGGCGTGCTCCTCCGGGAAAAAATTACAAAATTGAGGCACTTTCCATGTGAGCCCCTGTTGAAGGTAGAACGGAAGCCCACAACATATCCTTGGAGCAATGCTCGCACGGAACGACTCTTCAATATGGACTTGGTTCGTCCTTTCGGCCACAAATAAGCCAACCTTCTAACAACATTTTGATTGAGCTGCCAGTTTGACAAAATGGCTATAGCGAGCCTGTGCTCGTTGTTTTTGTCAATTTCATGTGCGATTTAATGTTCTAATTTTCGGTTTCACCTAGCGTACATGGGTATCTGGATGTTTGGAATTTATCTTTCGTCAGGGCCATAGCGAAGAGGATAAAGTGTCCCATTTGCCGACAAGATTTCAGACGCGAATTAGTATTTTTCCCCCAAATTGTTGGCGAGCGGGAGGGGGGGGTTGTCCAATTTTTTTTCGGACATACAGAAATTTTTCCAAACATAGCGTTCAGGACATACTAAAATTTTCCGGACATATCATAATTTCTTTACTTTTTCCGTAATTTACCTATTACTAGATAACTATTACTAGTAATTAATTTAACTATTAATTGAATTTAACTATTAATTAATTATTAATTAATTTATTAATTGAATTTATCTATTATTTAATTATTAATTTACTACTTTTAATTGAATTTAACTATTACTTTTTCATCCGAACCACTCTAATACTTTCGACCATTTTCGCTGCTTACGGAAACGATTTGCCGATAAAACTGTTATTTTGCCGAAAATGCATTTTCAGGGGGGGGGGAGTGTCACACCCCACGCCCACACCCCCTATAGCTACGGCCCTGTCTTTCGTATCCAAAAGACGGTAATTTTGAGGAAAAGTCCTCCGTACAGGTCTTTTAAGCCCGGCGCACACTACAGGAGCTATCAGCCAGGCTGATCTATATAAGCGCCCTGGTTTTGAGCGATTTCAGCCACGCGTGCCATCAGCACCGAAATTCAACATGTTGAATAATGAAAAGCTATCACCTTTCAATGTAGATCGAATAGGCATGCGTAATAAAACATAAGACAAAAGGAAAATGATTGATGAGGAATGTAATACCACGAAGGAGACCCTGGGGACGAGGTTGATGTAATACTTGAGTCGGCGACCATGCCAGTAGCGACATACGAATATTCCTCATTAATTATTTTCCTTTTGTCTTATGTTTTATAACGCATGCCTATTCGATCTACTATGAAAGGTGATAGCTTTTCGAGCGCGCACACTTGGAGGAAATGTTCATTCGTGACTGAAATTATTCACGCCTGAAATAGCCCAAGAGGGTCTAGATGGGGGGTGGGGTCTGAGAATCAGTAAACAGTAATAATTTTGGTATTTTAAAGATAGGAATACCGTAACATTTTGGTATTTTAACGGTAAATCTTTGAAAAGTGTTCTGAATCGAAACGATAAACAGTACTTTTTTCCGGCTCACGCTTCACGGTAAATTTTTAGTGTTTTCACGACTGACGGCAACCGAAATTGAGTGAATCACGACCAGGGACGCCGGAACTGGGGGGCAGGGGGGGCAGAAGTGCCCTTTTAGTTGTAAAATAATACGTGATAAATCACGAGATTCAGGTAATTTATAGTTTATATTTATAAAAATTTTGGGAAATTTTTGGAATTTAGAAAAATATGTTGAAGAAATGGCGAAAATTTAAGATATCCGGAAAAAATTATGGCTTCAAGGAAAATTTTTGTATGTCCGGAAAAAATTTTTGACCCTTAAAATGGTACACTGACCGAAATTTTTTTGGCGACGGGGGGGAGGGGGGGGAGGTCGCCAAAAAATTTTGCAGTGAAAAAAAAATTTTCAGTAAAGGTGCCCTTGGTGTGCGTCCGCCCCCCTTTGCCCTATTATCGTTCCGGCGTCCCTGATCACGACTCACGACATACCCCATCAACACCCTCTCAAAACGCCACCGCACATTGGGGGAATTTGCTTACGCCAACAGTCACGAGTGACGCTCAGCTCAGCTGATGACCTTGCTCTGAACACGCTGGGTGATTGCCAAATTCAATATGCCATTTTGCGATAAATTCATTTCAAAGTATAAACTATGCAATTATCACAGATGTGATGCAATTTGAATAGATTTGAACAGATGTAAAATTGCATCATGTAGATGCAATATAGTTGGAGTGAAAATGTGAAATGTCCCTCGTGAAAATCTCGTTCCCAGCGTATGCCTGTTCGCGGGTTATGTAGTGGCATGAAAACGAGATTAGAGATTTAGAGGAGGCTATTAAATAATTTATCATTAAAAATCAAAGCGGTCAGTTACTGTTATAGACGTATTATTTTGCTCTGCGGTAATAGGGGAATTTAAGTTTGGTTGCAAGATTGACTGCAAGTTAATTTAATTTAATGTTTCGCAAGTTGTCGAGTTTCCGTGAATATCTTGTCCCGCAGTTGTCTCGCAGCAGAGGTCTCGCAGAATAAACACGCACTTAACGCGCAGAGTTTTCGCGCATGCTCATACAATTTTCCTACATGTTTTCTCAATTTTTCCCACGTTGCATAAGTCTTTGCCACTGAGTGGTCTTTGCATGCTGAGGTTTCTCAAACTAGCAAACAGTTTGGCTTTCCGTCACTTCCGAAGTGTTCTACGACCATCAAGTTCGTCGCAAACGCCGATTCTTCACGGAAAAACTAGCAGACATTGGACAGTGACGATACTTGCTAGAATGTCTTCTACCGGCGACGAGAACGCCACAACTGGGTATGTACATACAGCTCACAATCCTGATGTCAAAATATACTGTATGGTATTTGGAATATTCGATTTTAAACCAGAATTTTGGTTCTTTTTGTACGGGTTACATATTTTCTCTTGAAAAAATCGTTTACGTCTCTTTTGAGTTAGAAATTTGTTTATAATTTTTGTTTTATTGTTGCCTATTAAATCAGTAGAAATTTGGAAAAAGTTATGTTGAATTTTACACATAAATATCTAATATTGATTTCTAATATGTAACACCTTAATAGTTGTTACATTAACTAATAAATTATGCGGCGTTCGTATGTATGCGAGGCAAATCAATATGGCAATAGAAATTGTCACATTTAAGTGAATAGTTAATGATACCAAATTTTAGTTCATTTGGTATAACACTTGCAATTGTTTCTCCATTGAATGGTGGAGATCTGTTTTGATATTTAGAGTGGCATGGCAAGGGATGGGAGCAGGCTGTTGCCCAGGGTTGCCTGAAATTGCCAATAAATGACACACCAAAGCTTAAACAGATAAATGCAATATTTGAAACAAAATTGTACAGACGGCCAAAAGAATGTAAAATCTTATGCTGATAAGCCCACCACTTAATTAACCCATTAAGTTGCATTGCACCCTAATGCACCCTACTTTATCATTTATTCTGTTTAAGACCAGCTGATTTTACTTGTCAGGGGGAGAGTGTTGGCTCCCACACAAAAATTTTAGCTAAATTTCTGTCTGCGCATTTTCATGAAAATTATAAATGAATTAAATGTACTTATTTTGTCTTTTATGTATCGAGAGCAAGCTTGACACACAAGGACACAATTTACTACTGTTATTGACTGCCTGCATGGCATGCATACAATGCAGCCATTCTCAAATGTTCTGCCTTCATCTCTGTGTAACTGCCATCATTCCCCATGCAAGAATAAAACTTTACAGTCTGGGCTGGTGCTCAATGGTTATGTATCGATCAATTCCATGTGTGCCCATTAGAGGTGTGCATCGGATCAGATTGGACATTTATAATCTGACAATTGGCTAATATTGTTTAAAATCCAATCCGATCCAAAATTGTTGAATCCGATCCGAGCTTTGATAATGAATTCCGATCCAAAGAATCCTTTAATAAAATAAATTTCTCATTCAAGTGGAAATATTTAACCAAATTAATTAATTTTATTTCCAATCCGATCAGACTATGAAACAACTTTATCAATCCGATCTAATCCGAAATGAATATTTTTGTTCCGAAACCGAACAAATGCGATCGGATTCGGATCAGATTTGCACACCTCTATAGTGCCCATGCATTTCTCCGCCACCCAGTGGCGTAGCCACCCTGACAGTTTGGTCCCACTATGCAAATGTCGACAAATATCATTTCTTTAGAAATTGCTTGTGTTGATAGTTTATAAACGTGGCAACATTTGCATAGTGGGAAAAATAGCATTGCCAATGGCCCACCAATTAGAATTCAGATACTGGTAAAAAATCCCACCAAGGACATTTGAGAATGTTGTAAATGCCCCATCCTTGGGCGTAAAAAAAAATATCTGTGGTTCCGATTCCCAACCGACCCTACTTTTTCTGCCGATCCTATTATTTTTTCAACGCGATTGACCGTGCGACCCTATTTTCTTCAGGTGGTTGCGGGCTGCTCATACAGAGTGCCAAAATGGCGTCTGTTGTCACACTACAGTACTGCCAAGAAATAACTTATCAAAAACCGCGTCCAAGACGCGGGCATCTTGCGTCCACTGTGCGTCCACGGGTGCGTCCGTCCTGCGGGCGCCGTGCGTCCGTCGTGCGTCCACTGTGCGTCTGCGGGCGCTTGCGGGTGCGTCCACTTTGCGGGCGCCATGCGTCCGCTTTGCGTCTGCGGGCGAGGACGCAGCTGAGAAAGAGTTCTATTTGTAGATCGTCGGAAATTATCACGTTTCGCTTTTCATAAACAAACCGTGGGCGTCGGAAAATATTCATGTTAGCGATTTCACACCACGTTTTTATGCTTATATATACACAAGCGTTACAGACCTAGAATCCTAGATATTTATATTTCTAATATTAAACTTACCGTGAAATTTCAGAATTTGTGCTTCGTAAAGTTCCTTTTCGTATTTGATCTCTACTTTCGCACTTTCGTATAACGTTTGGTTTAAACCCAGTAATCTTTTAACGTTGCCGGTTGGCAAAATGCACGTATGGTTTTATATCTTCTTCGAAGAAACCCAAATGAAAATACGTTTTGGTTGACGAGTAAGCGATCGATACCTCATTTTATTAGTCTGATAGTAATACGGATCGAGTGATATTAGTCTGAGCTCTTCACTTCAGCTTTAGCGAATTATACTGCAACTTTGAAAATCAAGCGATGACTCACAGTCACTGAACCGTGTTGAAACACAAAGACTGTTTCCTGGACATGTAAAGGTATTCCATTAAGGGGTTAAGAGAAGTCATTTATCCAGAAATTATATGGTAATTATCAATTTATATGACATATCACCATGTGCATTTACTGCTTTGGAAAAACAACACAAACTTGTTGCTGTAAATAAAGTTATATAGTGGCTCGTAGTAATGGTAATCAAAAGCATTATATATATTGTAATTGAGCATCTTCGTTTTAATATACTGACGAGTTACGGCGACATACTGTAACATTATTCAAATACAGAATTGCATATCAACTAATCGGCAATCTTCTACGAGGTAGGTCAGAATTTGAGTAGCAAATGAATGTGTTGCGAGATATATACTCGTTGTAGTCGTGATCTCATTGAGTTTAGTATATGTGTCTACATTATATTTATATATAGTTTATGTCTATTTTACGCTCCAATATACAGTCATATATGCTTCAATCGCCACTCCAGTACGTGTGATTGCATTGTGAAAGCACTACGCTTACTGTAGTATAACGTATAACATTATAAAATGGTTATACTAAGTGTAACGCTTAGGTTCAATGAAACTCGATTTCGGATTCAACTTTTTATTCTTTGCTTCTCCGATCAGTGACACTGATCTGTATTCTCACGACAAACTACGAGTATGATGCAAATATTAGTTCGTTTTTCCGATTATGTTACGACGACTGCGTCCAAGCGGACGCAGTTTTTAACTAGAGGCTGGACGCGGGCGCTTTGGAGGCAGGACGCGGGCAGAGCAGACGCAAGACGCGGGCGTCGTGGAGGCCGGACGCGGGCGCTCTGGAGGCAGGACGCGGGCAGAGTGGACGCAAGACGCGGGCGCTCTGGAGGCAGGACGCAGGCAGACGCGGGGACAAGTTATTTCTTGGCAGTACTGTAATTATTGAACCAAATTGCCTAAATTCGTCCATAGGAAATACACATCTCTAGTTAATATTGATATTGGGACTCTACTGCAAATCGCCCAGCAAAAAACTGCCAAAACCATGAAAAAAATATTCAAAAAAAAATTTATTTCCGACTTACTGACCCTAATTTTTTCACGATATGAAACCGGAACCACAGGTATTTTTTTTTACGCCTTGGGGACAAAATAACCATGTTTGGTGTAGCAAATATTCATGACAATCCTGTACTGTATGTATGAAAAGAGATATGAAAACTAGTGTCATATTATTCTGACATTGCAGAGAAGGACGAAATATTTGTTGTCTCAAGCAGGATTCAAACTTGCCTCTTTGGGTCTGCCACTCTACCCATTGATTGGTAGTAAGTCTTATCCAATAAACCTTTCCCCTTTTGAGTGAAATTTTGATCTACACAAGTCTGGACAAAAATTTCATCACAGCTTGAAAGAGCGCCACAAAATTAGAAATATTCCGAACTTTCATTGCGAAATGTTGTAAAATGCGGATAATATAGCCTTGTGAAGTTTGCTGTTTTGCAGTAATTTTGTATTACAATTGGGAAATTGGTGATCAGTTTGATCATCTGATTATCAATTTCCTGTTTGTAAGGGACCGGTCATTATTTATGGCAGGGGTGGGGGCCGAAGAGAAAGTATAATGCCGCCAAAAAAAATCATTACCCCACCTTTCCCGAAACAGAATTTCTAGCTATCCCACCGGTGGAATGCTGGAAAAAACTTTTACCCCACCCGAACCTATTTTATTGCAACGTCAAAGGTCCAGACATAAAATATGTAATGAAACAGTTTAGTATTTTGTATGCATATTACTCATCAAGGTCCAATTGTTAAATTGAAATGTGAT